TTTAACCTTAACATGAAAAGTGTATGTCAATGGATCAATAGCAAAACACTCTTTCCTGTGAAACATTAAAAAATCTCAGTGAGGGCGCTGGAGAGATGGTTCAGTAGTTAAGAGCACTGGCTGCTCTTCCAGAGGAACTGGGTCCCATTCCCAGCACTCACCTGGCAGCTTACATCTGTCTGTACCTCTGGTTCCAGCGGATCTAACACTTTTATACACAGACAAACATGCAGGCAAAACACAAAGCGCATAAAATTTTTTAAAAAATGAGGAAGAGATAGGCTAGGGAGATAACTCAGGCAGTAAACTGGAAAACTGTTTTTTAAACAAAGAAGAAAAAGGAATTAAAAAAAGAAAAAGAAAAACCCTCAGTGCAGTTATTTTTGCTGTTGGTTCGGTATCTTGCAGAACAAAGAGGCTCTTTTTCAAGACTTTTCTTCCCTTTAAAAACTTTGTTTTCAGAGGAAACTGAACTTATTAGGAATGAGAATCTGTCAAGAGCTTGGTGCAGCTGGTGCGGAACAGGTAAACGCTGCTTACCCTGGGAAATAAAACCCAGATCTCCCGCCACCTCCACCAAGTCCCACCATGTGTAACCACAGAGAACTAATCCAGGTGCTCTTTGCTTTTGCCTCCTCTTGACCCTAAAGAAGTGAGGGGCCTATGGCTTTCCTTGCAGCCCCGCTCCCCAGCCCCTTCATGAGGAAAAACTTCGGCTTGGTAGCCTGGCATCCAGGAAAACTGGTTCTGCTCACCCAGGAGAGAAATGACAGCTTCTCCCAGCGAGCCACTGTGCTCATAAACAGCAAGGGGAAGCATTCAGACAGGTCGGGACCTGCCTTTCAAAACGCCTGACCAGCCAGGAAGGCAGTGAAATCTTCAGGGAACATCAGTAGCTCTTTATATAACACCACCAAGTAGCCCAGTGATGTTTACGGCCTTGAGACACACAGGTAGCATCTCTGAGCACTGATGTCCACAAGGGAAGGACCAACTTCCCTGAGCAGCCAATACCTGGGTGGCTAGGAGGCAGGAACAAAGAGGGAAGTTAACTTTAGTCCAGCAGGAAGTCTCCAAAATTCTGGCACAGTCCTGTAACCTTACCCTCGAGGTAAGAAAGCCGGTTGCTCTTCCTGGAACTTGCCCAAAGTGACACACACCTCTCCTACAAATTGCCTGTGTTGTGTGAGCTCATAGTCTAGAGGACAGAGTAAGTACGCTGTGTGTGCATGAATGTCTATGTGTGTGGTGGGGTATTTGTACACTGTGTGAGAATGTGCTGTTGTGATTAGTATAATAAAAAGCTGAATGGCTGGTAACTAGGCAGGAGGTATAGGCAGGACATCCAGGGAGAGAGGAAGAAAGAGGAGGAGATTCTAGGTCCACAGGAGACGCCAGAAGACACCGAGAGGAAACAGGAGATGAGAGGTGAAAGAGAGGTAATGCCATATGATAGAATGTACATTAATATAAGTGGGTCAATTTAAGTTATAAGAGCTAGTTGGGAACAAGCCTAAGCTATAGGCCAAACTTTCAAAAGTAATAAGTCTCCGTGTGTTGTCATTTAGGCAGAGAAAGACTCATTTTACGTGTGTGTGTGTGTGTGTGTGTGTGTGTGTGTGTGTGTGTGAAGATGTTAATTCCTGCAGGGCATATTTAGCTGTTGTCTTATTCATGGGAAGTGTATGGCATATAGCCGAACACCCAGAGACACAGCTAAGTTCTTATAAAACCCATAACAAGATCTGGAAGACAGAAGAGAGCCCATAGCAATCTGGTGGCCATCCCAACTTTAAGAGCAATTGTGCCACCTTCATCTGAGACTAAGAAAAACAGCGACAATGAAGATGAAGGCTCAGTGCTCGCTCTATACTGACGACTGCCTGGAAAGGGTGGTGGTATGGTGTTTTAGGAGGAAAGGTAGATTGTCATTTTCATATTACAATGTTATTTCACTCGCAAGTTAGTTTATTGTTAGTTTATTTTTGCAAGTCTAGTATTGGAGCAATTGGGAGTTAAAGATCTTTAGGTTTATAACCACACGAGGGAGTTATGAAAGTGAGATCGTTTATGTATTATTTTTTAATAGGCACTCCACAACACTTACTAGTAAGTCTCTTTGGGGAAATTAACATTGAAATGGTTTCTGTATTTAAGATCTTGAAGCCTCCAATGTATGTTGAATTGGCCCACTGCATAAACACAATGCTAGGTGCTGAAAAAACAAATGTCATTAAAACATAGGAATGCTATTATCTCATTTTTCTCTACTGGTCTCAGTAGAGTCGAGGAAAAATCTGTCGTAGCCTTCATTTCTTAAGACGTAGACACACATTCTTATAAATGGCAAACTATGAGCTATGGCGTGGTAACTCATACCCTAAGGAGGCATCCAGTAGGGACCATCGCTGGTCTCCAACCAGGTTCTTGTCTTGCCCTCTCCAAGAATGAAATGAAAAAAACAATGCGGAGTACACCAGAAGAAACTTTGTTGTGAATTTGGGATTAACAACAACTTTACAAAGGATAAAGCAGCCTAAAATAGATTGCCACATGGCATTTAAAACAAACAGCTTTAGTTAGATTCTCAGTAGCGGCATGATATGCTCGCAGAGAGCCACTACAAATCAGGAAGATATATAATTCTGAGGAATGTTACAGTTCAGAAGATCTCTGAGGGCTTTGGGGTGCCAGCCAAGGGTAGCCCCTTGCAGAACATGTCCACAGGGCTGAGAGTGCTAAAAACTTCTCATGGGACTTGACAGCAGTCAGTCTCTGGGGCGGCTGGGAGTCCCAGCTGGAATGAATTCCCCTCTGCAGCGAAGGGTGGAGTCTCAAAGGCTGAGGCAAAGCATGGGTCCCCTTGACCTGGAGAGTAGCTTAATAGACTACCCTGCTGGGAATAAAAGCCTCAAGCATGGGGGGCCTTGTCTCTGGAAAGTACATCCTGGGAGCGTTTGGAAGGCAGTCCTCTCCACCGCCCCCATTGAGCTCGACAGCGCCCTGTGTTCCCAAGTCTGAATCTAACTGGCCCAGACGAGCCCTGATTGGCTGAAGGTGAGCACGCAGCTAGGTGAACGAATAAGACCATTGAGAAAAGAGAGGACAAACATGACGGGGCTGTGGAAGAAGCCTGAGCCCACCAAACATTCACGATCAAGTCCTCGGATCTCTGCCTTTGCCAATTTTTGTTAAAAGGTTCCCACCGTTTCTGGATGCCATGGCAGCCCTCCTAGGCCTTGCTCTTTCACCAGGGCAGGGATTTCACTCCTCCAAGGGTTATGGCTTCCTGTGCAATTCTACTGCTGTGCAAATGACTATCAGCCAGCCACTCTGGGTGCTTCAGCCTGCCAGTATCAGAAGGTGGTCAGGAAGCCCCGTCTAAGGGGAGGGGGCACCTACCCCTAACACTAGCACTCAGGGGCCTAAGGCAGAAGGACCACAGAAAGTTCAAGGCCAGTCTGAACTGCCTAGTAAACCCTGACTTAAGGGGGGAAAAGGGGAATGGGGAATCAAACTATGACCATTAGTAATTTGTTAACTATAAGCCAATTATATTTCAGTATTTTATATAAAAATGTATCATGACTACACAGACAGGTACAAACAGCAAACACTGGACTAGTCAATTATAGTTTCCGTATACCAACATGTATAATCCATAGTCAGAAGGAAGGATACAAAATCAAGAAACAATTTCCCACCTATTAGATTAAAAATATCCAGTTGTTTTGGGTTTTTTTTTTTTTTTTTTTTTTTTTTTGGTTTTTGAACCTGGATCTCAAGGCACGTAGCCCAGGCTGGCCTTGAGCTCTCTACGTAACAGAGAATGACCTAGGGCTCCTGGTCCTTCTTCACCTACCTCCCAAATTCTGGGATTATAAACATGGACCACCCTGCCCAGCACTACTGGGTATAAATTTTAAGTCCTCTAGCAAGTGTGTAATGCCACAGTTTTAACAAGATTGATATTTCACTTTTACACAATGTATGTAAAAGAGCGATTCATATCACTCTGGATTCTGTGTGCAATGGAGGCCAAGTAAAAAATACCATTCCTGTGTGTAGAGCAATGGAAAAAAAATACCGATTGAATCTGGAATTCAAACAAGTTTCGAAAACAATTTAAATGCCTAGTTTACGCATTTCTTCCTCTACGGTATATATTTTACCCACTACAGAAGTTGTAACTAATTCTTGTATAAATTGAGCTTCTTCCCCAACAGACTGATGCTTCCAATCTACTTCCTGAGTATTATGCTAAGCCAGAATTTATCAGTTTATTCTCTCCTTGCCCCGGAAGTACTCCTGAGATCTAGAGAAAAGAACACGACCTTGCTCTAGAAAAACAAATCAAACTAAACCCAACACTAAAAGAGAGATACACAACACCTCAACAGAGAAGAAGAGAAATGGTGAGGTCGAAACGCACTGAGGACTGGAGATGCAGCTTGGTGGCAGCTCCGTGACAGGGAGCTTGTCTAGTGTGCACGAAGCCCTGGGTTCAATTCCCGGTGCCACAAAAAGACAGAGAAGAAAGAAAGATTTAAAAAGCAAAATCCAGCTGCACTTGTTCCATGGGGAAGGAGGGGAGAAGGAGGTGGAGACCCCCGAGTAAATCCAGGCCACCTCTTGCACAAAACCCCAGCCAGGACTTAGGGACTTGGAGTTTCGTGCTGAAGAGAGTCTGCCAGACTTAATGCATTTGATAAAGATTCTGGCTTTTCATCTTCAGTCTTGCTTTGCTATATTAATCCAAGAGTTTCAGGAATACGAGAAACAGTGGCAATAATTCAAAATTTTTCATTATCTGCTCTTGGCTGTGTCTTCATTTGTCACAGCTGCCGGGCTGTAATGAAGAAGCCGCTCTGTCCCCTGGTACAGATTTGGGGTAATTCTTTCTCGGCACGTCTTTCAATCCGAGATTTCCCTGACAGGAGGAAAGGTCTAGGCTCTTTCTGACCAGGTAGCTGCAGACCATGTGTGTAATACTCCCCACATCCAGACTATCTAACCTCTGGTCCATCCAGGTGCCTGGGTCTGGAACCTCTAAGACCGTAGCCTGAGACCTGAGAGTCTGAGATGTGCCAGCCCCTACTGAACCCCAGGTTCAGTCGCCAGTCTCAATAGACCAATGGAGAAATCCAGCAGAAAGGGGCAGAAAGAAGAGATTTATTCAATGTATCCACACTGAGAAGAAGAGCCAAAAGATCCAGTGACCCTCACCCTTCACCCCCGTGTCCAGTCTTGGGGTATCCTGACATGAACTTGAAGTTTAAATAGAGGATGGTCCTGGTCAAGGTGTGGTCCTACCCATCACTATTGTCTCCATGACAGTCTGGCCTGCAAGGTGATCCAGTAAGAATCCTGTGGAATCTCTTCCTGGGAGGCAAGGTGTTAACATCAGTTCTCATGGGTTTTCTTGCCCCAGCAATGAGATTCCTGGAGAAATTCTGACTTCTTAGGGTCCAGCTCTTGAGGTCCATTGTTTTTAAAAGTCTGAGAGCCAAAATGATGAGCAGAAGTGTCTTCCTAAATTATCTTCATTCCCACCACGATAGTGTCACCTGGACCTTCATCACATCAAATAGAATCACTTCCTGGGGGAAAGGGAAAGGGAGGGGAAGACATGATTCCACAAACAGTCACAGAAGTCTGAAGGCCAGGGTCATTCATTGAAAGCAAACCTTGTAGTGGAGAAGTCCAGTCATAAGTGAACTACAGGGGTCACTGTAAATATTCATTCCAGAATTATTTTCCTTATTCCCTCTGTGTTCACTACTTCACCTACTTCATCAATCTAAACTCATCAGTATAAAAAGGGAACGGCCCTCAGTCACGGCTGAGGATCTCAGTGTATCAGTTCGCGGGGCTCCTCACAGGTTTGCTGGGCAGGATCAGCAGGAAAAGGACTGTTTGTCTTGTAGATGAGTCACTCAAGGGGAAGGCTAAGGCCCAGGTTCCCATTTTCATTATCACCAAAGGGCAACCTTCCTGGTCTTGGTAGAAAAGTTTAAAAATGAAACAGGCAGAGGGAAGCCGGTGACTGACGCTGTAAAGGTGATCTGCCCTCTTGCCCACGAGAAGTGAGATCTGCGTAGGCAGGTCCCAGGGATGGGTACTGATCGGCTTCTCTTCCTTCTCCCCTTTATCCTTAATATAAATCCATATGGAACAGTCTTAGCTTCAAGGTTCTCCTGAAATATCAACTAGATGGTGTTACTTAAAAACTGACACTATCTGTCAATGCATCATATTCTTTCAGGTCATCTAGGGGTTCGGCATATATGTATTTTAAGATTTATTTTTACCTTCTGTGGGGTTAGGGTAGGCGGTGGTTGTGTGCCCAAGTGTGTGTACATTCTTGTGAAGACCACAGCTGGAGTTACAGGCAGCTGTGAGCTGCCCAGTATGACTGCTGGGAACCTAACCCTTGTCCTCTGGAAGAGCATCAGCTGCTCTTATCAGCTGGGCCATCTTTCCAGCCCCTTCATTATTACGCTTTATCTGCCTCCCCATCCGCAGAGGCACAGAAGACTAGGTCCCTTTGCCTCATGTGGCTCCTCTTTCTCCCAGGCACCCAGAACAGAGGCTAAAGGTGGCAGGGACATCTGCTCACTGACTCCACCACAAGCTACTAATTATACAAACACAATATAGGTGAAATCAGACGTCCTTCATTTCATTAATAAAAGAATTTAAGAATGGATTCAAACAAAGACTTGAGAACAATTTTATTAGCATTTAAAAGAAAAAGACCCAAGGCTTCCAGGCTACAAATCTCAGCATCTATCCAAAAGATGAAGATAGAAGAGACAGGGGAGAAGCTGTGCTACTTAAGCCAGCATGGAGGTCAGGCACATGGATAAGCAACCACACAGCAGGGAGGCTTTAGGAAAAGAGTGAGGAAGCCTGTCTTAGGGTTTCTATTGCTGTGAAGAGACACCGTGACCACCACAACTCTTACAAAGGATAGCATTTCACTGGGGCCGGCTGGCAGTTTCAGAGATTTAGTTCATTATCATCATGGTGGAAAGTATGGCAGCATGCAGGCAGACAAGGTGCTGGAGAGGTAGTTGAGAGTTCGACATTTGAATCTGCAGGCAACAGAGGAGACTGCCAAACTGGGCGTGGCTTGAGCATCTGAACCCTCAAAGCCCGCCCCCAGTGACATACTTCCTCCAGTAAGGACTCACTTCCTAATAATGCCACTCCCTATGAGCCAATGGGGGCCACCTCAGAATCATTGGTTTTGGCTAGTACCTGTCAAAATAGACAAAAACAGAAAGGAAAACTTATATCAGGCCTCAGAGAGGTGGGCAGACCCAGCAAAGCCTCATGGTAACTCAGAGGTCTCACAGTAGAAGAGAGGAACCCTGAGAAGCAGGAAGTGTAGCATCTCATTAGAGGAAAAACTCATTCTACTTAGCTCTTTAGCTTGGCTTAAGGCCAGCCACCTTCCCAGGGTGATACTTTGACCAGATGATTGACATAGCCTTCCCTGGAATGTGAAGTCTCCACCCAGGGCTGAGATCTTATTCTCTTGATCAGAAGCTTTTCCATAATGGACCCTTACTGCTACTCTAACTGGTACATAGGATAGAGTTTGTGGCCCTAGATCGAGATAGAGTAAAATAAGAAGAAGAAGAAGAAGAAGAAGAAGAAGAAGAAGAAGAAGAAGAAGAAGAAGAAGAAGAAGAAGAAGAAGAAGAAGAAGAAGAAGAAGAAGAAGAAGAAGAAGAAGAATAATTCGGGAGCACGGACAAGGGGATAGGTGAAGGATTCTTTCATCACTTTCTCAGTCTGATTGAAGCCGCTCACCAGCTGAGAATCAGGAATTCCAGCACAAGGAGGAGCTGGAGGGATGTTAAATAGCAATGAACTTAACACCTACACAGACATTCCTTCAGGTACAGCCTCCCTCCTTTCCCAGGTCTCTACCTGGAATCTAAAGAATTCAAGAGGAGACTCTGCTTATAGCAAACACATCATAACTCCCTCGGCTACTCTCACCTAGGTGTTAGCTTAGCAGTGTGACCTCAGCCAGTGTTGGAGATCGTCCTATGGTCTCACCTAAGTCAAGATTCCTTTCCAAATCAAGGGATCACTTCAGGTTTGCTGTGGAGACAGTGCAGAGCTCTGCTCTGCCCCGGCTACTGGTGAAAAAAGTCAGCAGAAAGTTCCTCTTCTGTCCATATGATTCATTCTTTTGGTCACTTATTTAAAGTTTTCACTTTGAGCCAAGGTTACAGGCTAGGCTCAATGCTGCGGTGGCTCTCTTGACACCCGATCCCTCCTCTTTGGCGATTACAGGTATGCACCATTACACCTGAATACATCTATATTATCTCAGTAACTTCTTTATATTTACAAGGAGAGCAGAGAGAGGTACTTAAAACTTTCTGTGAATGTGAGAAGCCATCGTGATAAGGCTTTCTCCAGCATTAATTTTGATCCTTAAACACTTAATTCTCAGGTTCCTGTGTTCTCCCTATTCCCATTTAGTGTGACTTCTACGACTTGATTTGGTATAAATGCATTGTGTTAGATTTATTGTATGAAAGTCAGAAGTGTCAGACTGATTTCCACAGTTTCTGGGTTCTGAAGGGTAAGTTAAAAATTCATAGGGAAAAGGCGTGCCCAGTTTCTTGTTGTAAATCGTGTAACAGAGAGTAGAGTGAGTGCTGGAATGTTGTGCCTGTGAACTGAGCCTTGACCAAAGCCTGCAAAAAGTTTTTGGACTATGGTATTTCCCATAGATCTGTGCTTAATTATCAATACAACTGAAAGATTATTTCTCCATCAAGGCACAGATGAGAGGGAAGAACAAGAATGTTTCTTCTTTACAAGCCAAGGCAAAGGATGATGGTCAACAGCCAAAGAAAACTAAGGTGACAGAAAATGTCCTCTGCTGTTAAGCCTCTGTCTAATTCCTGGTGAGCATCATGTGCATAAGAGCATAAACACAGGAGCTAGAGGGAGGAAGCAGGAAAGAAATGTCTGTGGAGGGTCAGTAGACTGCCATAAATAATGCTCAAATAGTGAGTGGATGGATGATGGATGATGGAGATGGATGGATGAATGAATGGGCAGATGGATGGATGGATGGATGGATGGATGGATGGATGGATGGATGGATGGATGGGCGGATGGATGGATGGGCGGATGGATGGATGGG